ATCTATCTATCTATCTATCTATCTATCTATCTATCTATCTATCTATCATCTTCAACTAGTATTCTAAAGGCACAAGAGGGTTAATAGCAACAAAACTTTTGTTTTGATATTTTGCTGATATTTATTATAAATACACACACTGAGAGGACTTCCTTGTATTGATCAAAGAACTCAGATAAATTTTTATAAACCTCAAATCTAATGGCAAAATGGTGAAGCAACAGATTATGTGCTGAATTTTGTATAAAATTTCAACTCTCCATACTCTCCCTCCTTTAGAAAAAAAGAGCAAAGTTGTGTGAATTGAAAAAAAAACAAAAACAAAAACAGAAACAAATAACCTTCCAGTTTCTTCCTATTGACTATGTATGATAACACACAAATCCTTAGCTTAGTTAGCATTTAAAACCTCTGCAGTTTGGCTCCCACCTACTTTCCAGATTTATTTCATTCTACTCTCCTTCACAAACTTGAGATGGTCATACTGGGCTACATCCTCCAAATTTTCATCTCTCTCTCTCTCTCTTTCTCTTTCTCTCTTATATACATAATATAAATGTATTCCCCTTCTCATCACCCCCAAAAGAATGTGGTCAGGTTAGTTTCTTTTGGCTTCATGCCCCCAGCAGCTAGCATAATGCCTTGCACATGCATAGTGTTTAATAAATATTTGTTGAATTGCCTGGAATTTCAAGAAGCAGCTAGCTGCTGGGCAAGGAAGAGGGTAGGCAGCCTGAGACAGCTTTTCCTCAGTCCCCATAGAACCACTTCTTGAGACCACCCCACAGTTGCTTAGGTAGGCCCTCTCTAGTGCCGATCCAGGATCTTAGAATCATTGGATTTAGAAAGGGAAGAGGGACTGATTTTAATGCCTCAAGAAACTGAGATCTGGAAAGAGAAGGGTGTGACTTAAGCATGGTCTCACGTAAGGGTGAGTAGCCAGATGGAGCCCGACCATACCACATTTCTTCCTTCCCTTATTTCCACACCGTGCAGGGTTGACTAGTGAGTTTTTTAGTCCCCTATCCACCTCCAAGCAAGGAAAAGGATATACCAGCTCAGAAACAAAACACTAAAAAATCATTAGCCATGAATCTAGAACTCCCAGTCCCAGGGTGAACAGCCTCCGAACCCTAGAATCTAATCCCTCTAGCCTAGATGCAAAGGAAAATTCTCTAGCCCTGCCCTTGGAGTCTCCAGCCAGCGCCCCTCTCTTCATCTCTTCTGCCCTACAGTGTTTCCTCATAACAACAGCCTCCCCTCTTCCCCGCACCAGCTTCCCAGCACTCATTAATAGCAAGCTGACTCACTATCTCTCCTGGCCAAAGTGGATTGTCTTGCCATACGTAGGCAGGCTTCAGAAATCAGGCTAATGCAACCTTTATCCGGGTGCTGACTCAACACCCCCATCCCACAGTCCAACTCTTGTCACCTCCAAAACTCACAGCACAAAGTTTAAAGGCACTACCTTCCTCCAGTCTTTCCCCCTCAAGTTTTCCCCTCCCTTATTCGTTTTTTTCTGCCGTTTTCCGGCTGGGGCCAAACTGAGCCGGACCAGATTGAAGAAGAAGCAGGCAGGGGGCTGGGTTAGTGACTGAAGTCTGAATCTATATCTGAGTAGGGAGTCTGTTCCTCTAGCCTGGGGCTGGGACAGGGGTCGGGGGGTCTGTTTCTCTGAGCCTGGGACCAGAGCAAGGGCAAGGGCTCTGTTCTGAGCCTGATTTGGGAATGGGGCCAAGACTGCAGCCAGGGCTGGTCCAGGACTAGCTGAGTCCCGGACTCGGTCTAGTTCTGGAGCCGAGGCTGGCGTGGCTGGCTGCCCGCAGCGGTACCGTCCTGCAGCGGTACCGGTAGTGTAGTGTAGTGTAGTGTAGTGTAGTGTAGTGTAGTGCAGTAAGCGGGCCAAGATGGCTCTACCAGAACCTGTGGAGTCCAGGGAGCCCAAGGTACCCAGGGTCACGAGGAGAAGGGAGAAACGGGGAGGAGGCGCCCTGGACTCGGCCGCCTTGGACTGACCAGTGCTGTAGGTGCTGGGGGAGGGGAAGGAGAGAAAGGGCTGCAGGCGGGCGTCGTTGTGCCAGGGCAGGAAGGGGCGGAGTTGGGCTCGGGGGGAGTACCGCTCCCAGACTCGGATGAAACTAGTTGCCCGTAGCCAGGGTGGCATCAGAGGAAGGAGGCAGACTCTGAACTGCGCTGGGGCTAAGTCGTGCGCAGAAAGACTGACTCGGTCCGACCAGGCTGTCCTGCAGGTGAGGGGCGCCCAGAGCTGCTGGGCTGGAGCCCGGAGGAGGGAGAAGGGTGGGGTGGAGGCCTCCCAAACGGGTAAGCTCAGCTTCATCCTCCCACACCGCCCTCAGTGGAAATAGCGTTGCACTACTTGGAGATCTGGGTACCTGGCTTCGAATTCTTCTTTTACTGCCTGTGTAAACTCTGCCAAGTTACCTCTTTTTTGCCCCGAGTTGCCTAATCTGTAAAATGAGGAGATGGGACTGGGTGGTTTCTGCGATCTTTCCAGCTTTAGATCTTACGACCCCTCTTAGTGTCTTCCGCCTTGTGAGCGAAGTGACTCAGAAATTCGTTTTTCCTCCTAGATCCACCTTCTAGGTAGTGGTGATGATGGTGGCGTGTGGTGGAAGGGGGAAGTAATTTACTTTTTTTTTTTTTTAACCAGGAGTCTAGAGAAGTCTATACTGGTTTTAGAATAAAAAAGGCCCTGGGTTGGGATCTGGCTTCTTCTACTATTTATTACTAATTAGTTGAGCTTGGGCCAACTAACTTCTCTCAGGCCCTCAGGGACTAGATGATTGGACCAGACTAGGGGATCTTTAAGGCAGCTTTCAATTTAGAATCCTTCCTTATGGTGAACATCACCTCCCCCCCCCCCCCCCCCCCCCCCCTTCTTACCACCACTCACTCACAGGGTGTGGTGCTCAGGGTAGGCTTTCAGGCAGTGGGAGATTTGGGCATTGGGAGGGAGTTTGACTCTCTTCAGGGCCCACCAGCTGCAAGAGGATGGTCTAAAATGTTTAGATAATGGAGGGGTTAAATGTGTGTGCTGTGCTAGAAATGGGAGTAGGGGATCAGGCTCCTTCCTCATTTCTATCTTAGAATAGCAGATTCCAGTTCTAGAGTTTTATCCACGAGTGAATGAATGAATGAAAGCTTTTACTAAGTGTTTGGCTTTTAAAACTCTCCATAACCTTCCTCCCTCTACAGCCTTCCTTACACTCTACATTCCTCCCCAATTCTGTTATCAGTCAGTCAATAAATATTCCTGAGTACCTACTTAGTGCTGTGCCGATTGCAGCAGTAAATGATGGGATAACAGATACAAAAAGGAATATGAACCCTGCCCATAAGAAACTTACATTCCATTAGGAGACCACAGGTCTCTCTGGACTGAAATGGTGGCCAGAGAAAGGGGTTGGGAACAAGGACATCACCGGAAGGTGTGTGGCATCAGGGAAATTAATTGACACACCCTTCTTAGGAGTGGTGTTGTTTGATTACTGATACCAGAATCAATTACTGTTGCCTGAGAAAAGGTGTGAGACATGGAGAAGGTGCATATCAGTTTGTCGGGGAGATGATTTTAGGGCTCTGTGATGGGTTTGGGGCCACTTAGTTGTCATCAGCCAGGGTGGGAGCTGGAGTGCCAGTCTGCTCCTGGTAGAAGAAGAAAGATGGGAACAGAGTAGCCTGGGCCTGGAGTCAGGAATATCTGAGTTCAAATCTAGCCAGTAGCACTCCTTCAGATTACTTTAAATATATTTCCTATTTAAATGAATGTCTTATCAACTTCTTTAACTCAATATGCTCTAAACTAGACACATATATCCCTCCCTCTCCCTTTTTTTCTGAATTGCCTTATTTCTGTTGAGGGCACCATCAGCCATTCAGATTCTTCAGCTCATCATTATCTTCAACCCACTCTCTTATCTCTGCCTGGACCATCTCAGGTCTCCCTGGCTTGTCTATCCCCTCAGTAATCCAGTTGCCAAAATACAATGCAAAAATGCATTGCCAAAAAAAAAATGCCAAAATACAATACAAAATTCCCTCAGTAATCTAAATGTCAAATAACACAATTGCCAAACTGAGCTTCTGAAAGTGTAAATCTGACCATCTCATGTTCCTACTCAACTAACTTCAATGACTCCCCTTTAGCTCCATGATAAAATATAAATTCCTCTGTTTGGCATTTCAAGGCCTTTTCCACCTTGCCCCAATCTACATTTCCAGCCTTATTGTGCTACCCTCCAGGCACATTGTGGCTCAGTGTGACACAAGCTGGCCCTCTTGCTTACAGAACACCTCATCCATACCATTGCCACATCTTTGTACTGGCTGTTTCCCTGCAAGGAATGCATTTCCTCTTCACCTCTCCTTCCCAGAATCCCTAGTTGGCTCAAGGCTCAACTCAGGCATGATTTGAGGGCTTCTCTATTTCCCCTGACTCCTCATGTTTTTCCTGGCAAATCACCTTGTATTTCTTTAACATAGGCTTACACACATACATGCTGTTTCCTCTACCTAGGCTCTAAGGTTCTTGAGAGCAGACACTGTTTTTGATTTTGCCTTTTGAGTCCCCAGAGCCTAGCACTGTGCCTGGGAACTAGTAGGTGCTTAGTTGATCCATTGATTGTTAATTGCTTGATTGATTGAGGGGACTCTTCACAGTAAGGAAGGATGTAAAGGACTCTCAGGATCAGGGAGTGGAGTGAGAGGTGCCAAGAGGGATAAGGGCGTCATAAGGGATTGCTGTAATGGAGGAATGTAATCACTGACATTCAGATCAGTTGAAGGAGGGGGAAAGGAGAAAACCCAGAGCATAAGGAGGCCCTAGGCATTAGGGTAGATACTTAAGGATATTGAACACTCTTTTTTTTTTTTTTTTTGCTTTTTGGTGAGGCAGTCTGGGTTAAGTGACTTGCCCAGGGCCACACAGCTAGTAAGTGTCAAGTGTCTGATGCCAGATTTGAACTCAGGTTCTCCTGACTCCAGGGTCTGTGGTCTATCCACTGTACCACCTAGCTATTCCTGATATTGAATACCCTTGAATAAGAACACTCTGTCTTATTTTTCCCCCAGGCTGAGAATGCCAAGAACCATGTGGGTCTTCCTCCCTGTCCTGCTGAGCACCCTGCTTTGTGTACAGCCAGGTCAGACCTTGGGACGTTTGGTATTGGTTGGGGAGGGTACTCTGGAACTGGGAAGAGGGAGAGCCTTAGTATTGGGGGAGAGGTGGTTTCTGTTTTGGGGCTCAAGGGGTTGTGGTTTTGGTGAATTGTATCTGTTAGGTAAATGATATCTTTATGGGAGATGGGTAGGAGGTGGTAGGGGAGAATGCCAGGACTGCTGTGGGAAGATCTTGTCCTCCCCAGAACTCTGACCCTTGAGATCTGACTTGTGGGGAAAGGGGTCTGCTTTCTCCACAGCTTTGCCTCAGCCATGGGGAGCATAGGGGTGGGGCACCTAGGTCTTTATGCTGCAGCCCTGGGTGTCCTTTCTCAGCCCATCTAACCAAAGGGATTTCCTCTCTACAGCTCACAGTCTCCGTTGCTATAACTGTACAGCGGCAACGAAATCCAGTCAATGCAACTCTGTTGAGTGCTCCGTGTCAGAAACTCGCTGTGGGAGTATTAAAGTTGCAGATAAAGATGGTGAGTCCTGCTGGGTCCCAGTTAATGATTAAGACTCCAGGCTCAGACAGCAACTTAGATAGGTGGGACTATAGTGGAGGAGATTTGGAAGGGTCTAGTGCTAATCTTGAATCTCCTCCATTCCCCACATAATAAGAATTGTTTGACCAGCGCAGGGGTCACTCCCTATCCCCATTCAGGTGAATGGGTACCTGAAATTCACAGAATTATACAGTGTTAGAGTTGAAGGGGTTTTAGTAATATGCTAGTTCAACCCCTTCATTTTTTAGAGGAGGGGAGTTAACATAGAATATTGAATTTCAGAGCTGGAAGGGACCCCATTGGGTTAGATCAACTAATCCAATCCTCTCATGTTACACATGAGGAAACTGAACCTCAGAGATGAGAGGTGACTTGTTCAAAGGCACACATCTTGTAAATGGAACAGGAGAGCCAGAACCCAACCCTAGGTCTCTTGAATTCGCCTAAGCCCAGTGATCTTTCCTACTACATACACCGTCTTTGTTTCTCTTCCATACTCAGAGAGATATCCCCACCATAGATCAATGGAACTATATGACACAAACTGAGGCTTCAAAAACTGGTTGGGATAAAGAGTAAGAAGGGCTGTACTGGAAATTCCCTACAGATGGAGGGTCCAAAAGTACCAGGTTGGTTATGTAGATCCAGGAATCAGTTACCAGAGATAGAGATACTGAAGTGAGGAGTTAGGAGAGAGGATTTAGGTCTGAGAGATGAATGGAAAGGCCTGAGAGACAAGAATTTCTGGGTAATTAATAATCAATTTATTAATTAGGTTAGCTGATAATCAAGAAATTTATGGTCAGTGGTTTCCCTCGGTAAACAAAGGCATAACCTTGGAGATCCTTGAATGCTTAAATACCTTCGGAAAAGGAGGTGCTCCTGATAGGTGAAAATCAACTCTGATTGGTGAACAATTAATGATGGAGTGGACACATTAATGAGGAAGTGGGCTAAAAGTCTTCAACTCTTCCTGCTGAGAATGTGACTTGATCATGCCATTCAGCTGCCGTGAGCAATCTGGACAAAAGAATCCATCTCTACCAGACCACTCTGGTTGGTTTTCTCCTTCAAAGATTGGGTTACCCTAGACCACAATAGGGGAGGCTAGAAGGGCATAGACTTACTTCTTAAGGGCAAGAATTCAGCTAAATTGGATTCTGTTTGTAAGGTCTTCTAGTTGGGTGTGGTCTCACCCAAGATTCTCAAGAGCATGTGCCCAGAAGATTTGGGCAATCTCATTTATCATCATTATGCCTCGGAGACTGACTGAATGACCTGCAAGGGCTGGTCCCTGAATGAGGAAATAAAAAGGAAAAAACTTCGATCCTAATTTAATAATTGGTTATTAATACAATAGAATATAATAATTTCTCTCAGGTCAGAGGCATGAATTGATACCAGTGGATCCTAGATTTCAGTAGATAGATGAAGAGAGCTAGTCTAGGTTCATGTTGATCATTTATCTATCAGGAGGTTTCGGGGAGAGTTTGCATTTCACAAAGTGTGGAAAGCAGTTTGTAGAGCTTTGCTTCTGGTGGACATCTGTGTATCTGTGTGAGTACATGATACCAGCCTTGTCTTCTGGCTTGCCTTAATGAGCTTCAACTGGACAGCAACCCAGTGCAGAGGAAACAGCTGTTTATAACAGAGGACTACAGAGGGGTTTACATTAGGCTATTATTATTATTTTTTTTTGGTGAGGCAATCAGGGTTAAGTGACTTGCCCAAGGTCACACAGCCAGTAAGTGTCAAGTGTCTGAGGCCAGATTTGAGCAATGCTATTATTTTTAATACTCCTGCAGAAATTCACTGGCAGACACTTGGGAGTAAGGTCTTCGACTTGGTGTAATAATAATAATACTAGCTAGCATCTATATAGGAGGCAGCCAGGTGGGTCAGTGGATAGAGAGTTGGGACTGGAGTCAGGAAGATCTGAGTTCAAATTCAGCCTCAGACCCTTAGTAGCCGTGTGGACACTGGGCAAGTCACTTAGCCTCTCTTCACTTTAATCTATTGGAGAAGGAAATGGCAAACCACTCCAGTATCTTTGCCAAGAAAATCCCCCACAAACCCCTTTGTGATCCACAGGGTCATAAAGAGTTGGACACTACTGAACAACAAATGAAAGAAAAAAAACATTTATATGGTACTTTAAAGTTTGCAAAATGCTTTATGCATTTCATTTGATTCTCACAATACCCCTGGAAGGTTGTTTAGTCATTTTTCTGCCATGTCTGACTCTTCCTGACCCCATTTGGGGTTTTCTTGGCAAAGATACTGCCGTGGTTTGCCATTTCCTTCTCCAGCTCATTTTACAGATGAAGATACTGAGAGGTAGGTACTATTATTAGCACCATTTTAGAGACTGAGGAAATTGAGGTAAACAGAGGCTAATTGACTTGCCTAGAGTCTGGAATCTAATAAGTGCCTGAGAGAGGATTTGAGCTCAGATCTTCCTGACTCCTGACCACTGCATCACCCAGCTGATGCCTCCTTTTGTGGCCCTCTTTCAGTCCTGGTGGTTATGTAGTTTTGTGTTCTAAGGTTCCCTTTGGTCCTAGTATTCTAGGATTCTAAGCTGGGGTAGCTTTTGTTGCCTACTATGATTGTGACTTTGGGCAAAATGCCTAACTTGCCTGGCCTTCAGATTCCACATCTTCAAGATTTCCTTGAGGGAATTACGAGTATGAGGGAGGAAGAGCTTTGTAGTGTACAACCTCCTACCTTTACATGAATTTGACTATTAAATGTTTCCAAACTCTTTTCACATCCATTAGGATTAGGGTTGTTTTTTTTTAGAAGTAGAAATGACATTAATGATTTCCTTGTCTTGTCTCCTAATTTTACAGAGGAAGAAACTTCGATTTCAACAAAGATTTTTCAGCCCCTAACTCATTGCTGCTTCTAGCCCTCATTGTTCCTTGGAGGAGGAAGGCATTTCCTTCCTGGGTCCTAAAGATCCTTCAATGAACCCCACACTTTGTTTTACCTCCCTCCACACTGACCTCTCAGCCACTATTTTCACCTTTCCCAGAGATTTCACTGATTCTGACCGTTAGAAGCTCTACTCTCTGACTGACCCTTTCCTCTAGCCGTCAGGTCATTAGTAGAACAGAAATAATAGAAAAACCTTGTGGTTGTATGTTCTAGGTTTTAGGTTCCAGCCCTCATATTCTAAGATTTTATGTTGGAGTAGCTTACATACTACAAGCTACTTATTACAAGTGTGATTTTGTGCAAACAGCTTCAGTTGCTTAATTTTTTTCCTCATCCTCACTGAGGTAGCTGGTGGTATTCTTCATTGAGTGAGATGGGCTTTCAGTCAGGAAGACCTGATTTCAAATTTGGCTTCAGACGTTTACTAACTATATGACCCTGGGAAAATTGCTTAACTTCTGTCTGTCTCAATTTCCTCAACTGTAAAATGGGGGGGGGGGGGAAGGGGAGCAGTAATAATAGCACTTACCTTAAAGGATTGTTGTGAGGATCAAATGAGATAATATTTATAAAAATCACTTAGCACAGTGCCTGACACATACGTAATAGGAGCCATATAAATGATTGTTCTCCTTCCCTTCATCTGTAAGATGAGGAAGTTGGATTAAATGACTTCTGAGGTTCCTTCCAGCTCTTATGTTCATGATGCTGTGACTAAATGCTACATGAAGTATATATTTATGTAGCATTTCTTCAACAAGCATTTATTAGGCTCCTACTCATATGCCAGGCACTGTGCTACATGCTGGGGATTCAAAACCAGAAAGCAAAACAGTCCCTGCCTTCAAGGAAGTTATATTCCATTGGGAGAGATTAACATATTCATAGAAAATTATATGCATATATATAGTTAGTATAAAGTCATAATCTATGAGGGAGGGAGTGAGGTCTTCCTGTAGAAGGTGGGACCTGAACTGAGTCTAAAGGGAGTACAGTCCGGGTATGGGGATCAGCCTTTGCAGAGAGAGACGCACAGAGACAGAATATAGGTTGCCATATACAGGAGACAATGAATAGCCCAGTTTGGTGTATACAGGGGAGAAGTATATAATGAGCCTACAAAGGTAGACTGGAGTCAGATGCAGATGGCAAAGGGCTTTCAGAATCAATTACAAAATTGTATTTTATTTGAGAGGCAACTTCATGAACCAGGGAGTGATATGGCTAAACCTGTGATTTAAGGTTACAGATTTGGCAGCTTTGTGAAAGATTGATGGACAAGGGGAGAGACTGGAGGGTACGGAAGTCACTTAGAAGGCTACTGACCCTAATAGCCAGTAGTCTGAGCAAAGAGGTGATGAGAGCCTTGGACCAACTGTGATGGTAGTTGTATGAATGGGTAAAAGTAGGGAGTATAAAGGGAGTTTGGAGGATGGAGCAGCCTTTGTGGGTTGGAGTATTCAGTAGTCCTCCTGAAGAAGGTGGGTCTTGAGGACTGTAAGATTCAGATGGGGCAGAAGAGTAGTAGCCTGAACAATGGAGGGAGAACCACCAATGAAATTGTGATGTGCAGGAGATGGTGAGGAGATGCTTTGATTGGAACAGGAGGTAGGGGAGCAAGGGGAAAAGAAATTTCTGCCTCATGGTTTAAGCATTGAATGCCATTCTCTTCTTCTGTTTCCCACAGGACCAGGGAACAAAATGCTGTATTTCAAGGGTTGTACTAATACTTCCTGTGGAGAGTTTTTCATGAAATTATGGGGCAAGGCCAATAAAGAGATCCCCCCATCTCTTATAGAAGTGGATTATAGCTGCTGTTCGAAGGAACTGTGTAACGGGGTAGATGGGATCAGAGGCAGCCCCTTGGCCCTGATAGGGATCCTCCTGCTCAGCCTCGGACCTGCCTTCTGGGCCATGCTGTGAGGGCTTCAGTCACTTCCTCGCGGACCCTGCCTGGTGGTTTCTCTTATTCCTCAGGAACAGATATTCAGCTTTCTCTCTGCACCTCCCCTGCTTTTAGAACAATTGCAAACAAAATTTACCAGAATTTTGTCAGTTCTGATGGACACAAATACATGTGTGAGGACACACAACAGACACACATCTACATAGACAGATGCACAGAAACAAATGGACATTTACTGTTTTATGGAGTTATCAATGCCTCTCTACTGTTTGTTAGCAGTGAGAGCTACCTAAGAACTATTAAACATTCAATCCCTATTGGAGGTATCTGTGGAGGATTCCTCAGAGACCTATTTCTCTGGTTATCTTTCTTTTCTTAGTTTCATTTATGCCTTTTATTTTTCTATTGCATCCTTTTCTAAATATATCCATCCCACCCTCCCCTAGTCAGAAAGCCATACCTTATACCAAAGGTTAAAAGAAACAAAAGCATTTTCAGCAAAATCATCTAACACGATGAATGACCAAGTGTACCAGACTAGGGAATACTTTGCACTCAGACTCTCCAATGAAAGGAGGGAGGTGAATTTTTTTTATCTCTTCTATGGGTCACAATTAAGCATTATAATACAATGTTTGGTTTTGTTTAAAAATTATTTCAATTTAATATTTTTATTGTCATGTTTATGTTTTTCTTGTTCTGCTTACTTTATTCCTCATCTGTTCCTGTGTCTTCCCAGGTTTCTTTTGATTTTTTTTTTTATTTGTTGTTTCCTACAGTATCATTCGTGGGCAGTTAGGTGACACAGTGGATCTGGTGCTGGGCCTGGAGTCAGGAACGCTCATTTTCCTGAGTTCAAATCTGTATTCAGACACTTACCAGCAGTGTGACCCTAGGCAAGTCACTTAACCTTGTTTGCCTCAATTTCCTCATCTATAAAATGAGCTGGAGAAGGAAATGGCAAACCCTTTCAGTATTTTTGCCAAGAAAACCCCATGCAGGATCACAAAGAGTCAGACACGACTAAAATAACTGAACAACAACAGTGCTATTCTTGAAATGATGAGTGCCCACTTGGTTTACTGGATCCTTCTCCCAATATTCTCAAGTCTCTTCTCAGGAGGAAAAATGCCCCTTTCAAAGGGGCATCATGATGGTAATCTTGATGGTAATGATGATGTTCAGTCCCCAATTAAAAGATGTGGCAATGTTTAATTAAATTTTTAAATTAAATTAATTAAAAGTGGTAATGTTTCTCTGTATTCCCTACACCCAGCCTTTTCCCCTTCCCCAGACCTTTAGACTTCCTGTCTCCTTTTCTGGGGTGGGGGGGATAACCCAGAAGAAAGAAGGAAGAAGACTTTGATAGTTAATTTCTAGCCCTATTCTCAAAATTACTCTTTGACTTAGGACAACCCCTTACGCTCAAAATTTTTTGGTAGGGGTTAGGTGGAGGAGAATTAGATAAGTAACTTGCTGTAATGGAAAGAGCCCAAGACTTAGAGAGATACATGGGTGAGCTGAATCCTGGCTTCATTTCTTACTGATTGTGTGAAACTGGGAAAATTAATTCATTCCTCTGATCTTCAGTTTTCTCATCTATAGAGCACTACTGAGCTCACAGGAATGTGGACAAGAAAGTCTCTGTATAAACTTTAAATCATTATGGAAATATGAATTGTTATTATTATCTTGTATCTGCCACCAACCCCTTATTGGCTTAATAAGATCATAGATTTGGAGCTGGAAAAAACCTAGAACTTATGGAAAAGTCATAGAGTCCAGTCCCTTTGTTTTACAAGTAAGGAAATAGAGGATGAAAGAGACTTCCCTAGGTTAGAAAGTGTTAGAGGCAGGGTGTGAACTCACATTGTCCCTACTCCAACTATAATGTTCTATTGACTGGGCCAGTGAGCTACCCTTCTGTGGGTTCCAGAAAAGTTCTGTCCCAATATCAGAGAAACTCCCATTCCTATGTCACTTTTAGAGTTTAAATTTTTTATTAATATCTTTTTAAAAAAAATCTTCATTTTCCAAATGTGTCTCTCTTCATCCCTCATCTTACTCAGAGAGCCTTCTCCTTGGTAACAAAGAAGAAGGAAAGGGAAGAGGAAAAAAAAAACAATTCAGAAGTTCAATACATCAAACAAGTCTGACAATGCCATGCTCCATGCCCATGGTGGGGGGCACCTCTGCAGAGAAGGGAGAGATACATTTTCACATCTCCAAGGCCAACCTTAATTATTCTAATTACACAATGTTCAGTTTATGGGGTTTTGGTGTATTTTTTGGGGGAGAGTTCAGTTTTTTTTCACATTGTTGTAGTCATTATATATCTTGTTTTCTTGGCTGTGCGTAATTCACTTTGCTTCAGTTCACATAAATCTCATGTTTTGATGAATTCTTTATGTGCATCCTTATTACAGTACAGTAATATTCCATTACATTCCCATGCCATAATTTGTTTAACCATTCCTCAATTTAAGGGTACTACTGGGCATTTCAGGAAGCTGTCCTAAGCATAGATAACACAAATGATTAATCTGGTTCATTGATTTGTCCAAGTCAGCTTAATATGCAGAAGTGCCATATCCCTGGGGGTGGGAGTATTGCTGAGCTTTGTATCTTCCCAGAAGACATTGATAGAATGGACAAGACCCAGGAATGTGCTAACTTGGGCTACTGATGCCATGAAAAGGCCACTGATTTTTCTAGGAGGGATATTCCCAGCAATTGCATTTCCCTTTCACAGTTATCTCTGGTCAGATATGCCTCCTTGTGAAGATTTGGACACTAAATTGCTCTAGTGCTTAGCTTTCTGGTTGGCTTTGTCTGTTGTGGACTCCCCTCCTGTTTCTTCATTGAGTTTACCTCCATCTCTAGTGAGCCCCTGAGGGATAGGGGATTTGGGTGGATTTCCAGGTGGAGCTATTGCTATGTTCCTCACTGAATGATCAGGAGCCTGAAAGCTTAACATCTGGGTATCTCTTTGTGTAGGCATGACCACCAGAACAACAGCCTGACAAAGACAGACACAGATGGACAGATAGACAAATAGGCAGATAGGCAGAAAGATAGGCGAAGCAGGCAGACAGAAATACAAAGAAAGACAGTTAAATAGACTGACTGAGGCAGGAAGATAGATAAGCAGAAAGACAGACAAGTTGGCAGACAAACAGATTGACAGAGACAGACATGGAGACAGGGAACTAAACAGACAGACACCCAGGAAGAACGGAGGAACAGCGCCCCAGGAGAGGAGTGTGACTCAGAACTTTTGTCCTCGTCTTGGACAGGGAAGAAAAACTGGAAAATTCTAGAGACCCATCCTTTCCCTCCCTGAGACACTTACTGGTTGATGCCAGGGAGCTAAAGTGAGGCAGAGCTAAGGAAGTGCAATCAAAACATCAATTTATATACTGCATCCAACTCTGCAAGTAATAATAACCATAGCAGTTACAAAATCTGCAAGAATATGAAGAAAACACAGAAAGAGAGGAGCTGTAAACAGAAAGGATGAGCTTGACACTGGTGTGAAAATTAATATGCATATTTATTTATTTTTAGTTTTCAACATTCACTTCCATAAGATTTTTGAGTTCTAAATTTTCCTCCCTTCTTCCCCTCCCCTCTTGTTTTGGGGACAAGACAGCATGCTATCTGACACAGGCTCTACATATACAATCATATTAAACATATTTTCACATTAGACATGCTGTAAAGAAGAATTAGAACCAATGGGAGAAACCATGAGAAAGAAGAAACAAACAAACAAAAAAAGAGAGCAAATAGTATGCTTTGCTCTGCATTCAGACTCAGATAGCATTTTCCATCATGAGTCTTTTGGAGTTGTCCTAGATCCTTGTGTTGCTGAGAAGAGCTAAGTCTATCCAAGTTACTCCTTGTACAGTGTGGCTGTTACTATGTACAATGTTCTCCTGGTTCTGTTCAATTCACTTAGCATCAGCTTTACATATAAATGCTAATACTCTAAGCAAATTAGGATAGCAAGGAATAGTTTGCCTGTCAGGTTTATGGAGAATGGAAGAATTTATGACCAAACAAGAGAAAATTATGAAATGCAAAATGGATAATTTTGCTTATATTAATTTGAACAGTTTTTGCACGAACAAAGTCAAACCAAGATTAGAAGGGAAGCAGAAAGCTGGAAAACAATTTTTACAAACAATGTCTCTGATAAAGGCTTCATTTCTAAAATATATAGAGAACTGAGTCAAATTTATAAGAATACAAGTCATTCCCCAATTGATAAATGATCAAAAGATATGAACAGCAGTTTCCAGAGTAAGACATTAAAGCTATCTATAGTCATATGAAAAAATACTCTAAATCACTATTGATTAGAGAAATGCAAATCAAAACAACTCTGAGGTACCACATCATACCTATCAGATTGGCTAACATGACAAAACAAGAAAATGATAAATGTTGGAGAAGATGTGGGAAAATTGGAACACTAATGTTGTTGATGGAACTGATACAACCATTCTGGAGAACAATTTGCAGCTATGCCCAAAGGGCTATAAAACTGTATATACCCTTTGACCCAGCAATACCACTTTTAGGTCTGTATCCCAAAGAGGTCAAAGGAAAGGGAAAAGGACCTTTTTGTACAAAAAAAATTTAGAGGAGCTCTTTTTGTGGTGGCAAAGAAGTAGAAACCGAGGGGATGCCCATCAATTGGGGAATGGCTGAACAAGTTGTAGTATATGAATGTAATGGATTACTATTGTTCCATAAGAAATCATGAGCAGGGGGACTTCAGAAAAACCTGGAAAGACTTACATATTTTTTATTAAATTGCAAGATTTCATGTAGAGCCTTTTCTGGGGGTGGGAGTATGTATTTGAAAATTTGTGTTAATTGATGTAATCAAGTTTATAATTAAAAAAACTCCGGAAAAATCCCCCAGGTTTTTCCACTGACTACATCCCCACCCTTTCTTCCTTCCTGGAATTCAGGACTAAGATAGGAAATACTGGGGTGGAGCTGAGCATTCTCCAGAGAGCCCTCAGTCGGGACTCTAAGTAGGGCAATTTACATACATTTCTAGACCTCTGCAAATGTATGTAAACTCTCTTCCTTCCTACTTTCTTCACTCATTCTTTCCAGACTCTAAGTTTTTTTTTCCCTTCCTTTTTTTTTTTTAAGAAAACTTTCTTCTGTAAGATTCTGAACTGGTTCCTTGTATGTGGAAAGTCAGTTTCTATAAACTAGGAGGTACCAGATAGACATGGCCTGGCATTCTTAGGTAGGGGCTGCAATCCTAAGACAATCAGAAAATCCCACAGGGAAACCAGACCCCAACAAGAGCTCTAGTGGTATACTGACAAGTGCAGAGTCTGCTGTGTTCACAAACATATACCTTCTCACTGAGTTCAGAAACTCACAACTCACTGACTGTTGTTTGATAGTTTCAGTTGTGTATGACATAACCCCATTTGGGGTTTTCTTGGCAAAAATACTGAAATGGTTTGCCATTTCCTTCTCCAGCTCATTTGACAGATGAGGAAACTGAGGCAAAAAGGGTGAACCTTGCCCAGGTTCACACAGCTAGTTAAGTGAACCTGGTTTTGATCTCAGGAAGATAATCTTCTTGATTCCAAGCCTAATGCTCTATCCCACCTAGCTGTCCCACTGACTATACAAACACACAATTAATTGTGTAATTAATTACAAACATGTACCTCACCAGCTACATATACAGGGATGGTTTCCTAAACCCATTCATGTAAAAACATGCAGTTCCTTCTGCTCCCAGAATCAACTCACTAACTCATTGAATATATATATAAACACAATGAAGAAATGTCCTGCTGGACTTGAGGTTTGACTCTTGACCTGTGCTATCTCCATATCTCTCAGAACCCCTGTTACCTCCACTGTGAAAGGGGCATAATAATCCCGGCTCTGTCTACCTTGCATTCTATCTATAACTGCTTTGTAAACCTTAAAGCACTATAAAAATTTGAGCTAATATTAACTCTGTGTTTGCAAACATATAACTTATCAAAGGAAGGAGATAGGAACAAACATTTATTAACTACTATGTGCTGGATACTGTCACATGCACTCTATAAATATCTCATTTGTTCCTCACGACAACCCTGGGAGGTAGGTGCTATATATCTCTATTTTACAATTGAGGAAACTGAGGAAAACAGAGGGGAAGTGACTTGCCCAGGGTCATATATCTAGTATCTGAGGACAGATTTGAACTCAAGTCTTCCTGACTCTAGGCCCAGTGTTCAAACCATAGTACCACTGAACGTATGAATCACAACTCATTGTGTTCACAGGGATAATACTCAATATATAGGCGAGATTTACCCTATTTTTCTCTTCTCCCTTTCCCCAGTTAGCTGCAGACTCTGTTTTCTCAGTCTTCTCTGTCCTCCATTTCCTCCAAGCTCATCTTGTTCCCCCAGGGCAGGCCATTCTGAATGCTGTCACTAATTTAGTCTAGCCCCCTCTTTCCCCTTATTGGGGGATGGGCAGGAGGCCCTCCTCCCACGCTTGAAAATCTTCTCCCCTGCCAGTCCCCATGATGAGCTCTCCCCTTACCTGGAGGACTCTTCCCCTTCTCCTACTTGCAGGGTCACTATTGTCAATCTCAGAATCTCCTCCCTAGTTTCAGAGTCTCCCCCCCCATCCTAAAGTTTATTTCCTAGACCCAGTTTCTCCCATAAGCCTAATGTTTCCCTTTTCTCCTTCTTTCCTAATATCTCTCATGATATTAGAGTCCCACCAGGATCTCCCCTAATCCCAGCCTGGGTCTCACCTGGTTCCTTGTACAACAGGGAGGAAAAGGAACCTCATGATTTTTGGTTGTCTCAGCTGGGGGAAGGCATAGGCAGGGAGGGATGATTAACTTTCAAATCTTTCCCCAGGGCTCTCTTTTTGCCAGTCGAGGATAGCATCCCTTCCCCACCTCCCACCTTCCTGAGGGTGTCTCCCCCTGAGTCTTTTCCCTTTTTCTTTTTTCCCCCCCAGATTTGTTTTCAGGTAAGATTTTCTAGCCTAATCTTACCTATTCCCTCCTCTGTCCTCTTATCCCTAGTGAACATGGACCTTTGTCTTGCTGCCCCAGAATCTACCCCAGACTGTTCCTTCTCCAGATCTTTGCTCACGGCCTTCCCTCTGCCATGACCTCAAGAGAAGCAAGCTTGAGATGCAGCATAAGTAAGAAGGTTGTCTTGGACTGTGCTGTGACTCCTGGGCTTTCCCAGCACCCTTTTCTGGGCCTCTTCTGGCCCATTAGCTTGGGTATGGCGTTCCCTTTCCGGCAAGCTCCAATTAGGTTAGACCCAGAGATTACAGAAACTATATAGTCACGTTGTGTAGGTTTCAGAAATGAATTTAGGGGAGTCATTTAGGGGAATACAAAAGAGGAACACTCTAACAAACCCAAGCTATTTGAGACATGGGTGACATCTTTTACTTCCATGGGTTTTATCACGTCCTGTCTTGTGTCCTAGTGATCTGGCTACGGGGTTTAATCTCCTTTTTGGCTTTTCTATCTCTCCAAGCTCAGGGCTTCCTCACACACAATAGCCATCAATACATGGGTAAGGTGGAAAGAGCAGGGATTCAAATCGTGACCAGCTGGGTGAGCAAGTTAAATACTTTCTGTGGATCTGCTTTCAGGATTATAGATTTCAAGCTGGAAGAGCCATCTCAGAGGATGTTAAAAACAGACCTTTTACTTTTATAGATGAAGAAACTGAAGGCCTTCCTGATTCTAAGTTCAGCCTGCTTTCGGAGGTAAATTCTCAAAGTCCTGAAACATGGATTTATCTACTAGGGCTCCCGACTCCTCCAACTTTGAGTCTGTCCTGAGGGGAAGACACATACTCTGTAAACCTTTCCATTTTAGACAGAAATGTAACTTCCAGATTTTAAGTTAAAAGGCTATCAGATGCTGATTCTCTGCTCATTGTGTTCCTTCTCAGAACTCAGGGTTGAAAGCACAGATATCATGTTCTTTTTTTTAAAATAAAATTTTATTTATATTTTTTTGTTTTTGACATCACCAGAATTTCTCAGTGTCTCTCTCCTTCCCCACTTAGAGCGATATCCCGTGTAACTAATATTTTATAATGAAAAAAAAAGAAAATGGAAGAAGAGAAAAAATTTAATAAAATAGAACAAATGGAAAGAGTCTGAAAATGTATGCCATGCACCACACCCATGAACCTCCTTTCCTTGCAAAGGAACAGGGTGCATGTTTCTTCTCGTTTCTCTCCTTTGAGGTCATGCTTATTCTTTGTAATTTTGCAACATTCCTTTTTGATTGTTTTGTTTTGTCATTACTCTTTCCAACGAACACCATTGTTGTAGTCATTGTGTGTATACAAAATGCAATTTCTTGCCTCTGCCTACTTTGCTTTGCATTAGTTCTTTGCATCAGTGCTTCTCTGGGTTGATCATATTTGTCATTTTTTACAGCATGGTAATGTTACATTACATTTTTGTCCCACAATTCCACAATCAATGGGCAACCATTTTGTTTCACTTTCTTTGTTACCAAACAAACAAACAAAAAATCTGTTGCTATAAATATTTTAGTGTATAGAGGACTTTCTTTTTATCAATGACTTCCTTGGAGATATAAACTTAGCAGTGGAATCTCTGGGTCAAAGAATATGGACATTTTTCTCACTTTATTTCCATAATTCCAAATTACTTTCTAAAATGGTTATAGTGATTTACAGCTCTGCCAACGAAGCACTATCCCATAATCTATGCAATATTGATGATTTCTATCTTTGGTCATCATTATCAATTAGCAGGATATAAGGTGAAACCTCAGTGTTGATTTGATTTATATTTTTCCTATTATTAGTGTTTAGGTTCTTTTACATGGTCATTAAAAGTTTGTAATTCTTCTTTTGAGAAATCTTCCTGTTTATCTATTAGGAATAGTGTTTAGTTATATACATGTATATGTATATGTATTTGTCTACTGTTACATATGTATACATGTGTATACATTTATATCTATTTTGTTGTTCAGTTGTTTCAGATATACCCAACACTTCATGACTCCATTTGGTGTTTTCTTGTCAAAGATACTGGAGTGGTTTGCCATTTCCTTCTCCATGTGCATCTATCCATATACATAAATACATGGTGTCCCAAAAGTCTTAGTGCAATTTTAAACTATTAAAGCTTATGTAAAGAATGACCTCTAAATTAGTTAATATTGATTACTTTGATTTATCTTAGTTTGACTAAAGGATTGTTTCCTTTCCTTAGGAAGAACTAGTATAAAAACAGCTAAGTTAGCATAAATATTGCCTTAAGCCTAAATTACCTATAGATTTGGTGAATAGGTATTTTGATAAGATTTAATAGTAGATAAATTAGAATAGGAAATATATCTTTATAGACATAAAATAAAATAATCATTAAGATTAAGCTTAGATATAGAATTCTTTATAAAGGTCAAGTTCTGTTTTCAGGCAGCTGAAGGGTAGGGGTTGACTCTCAGCTTACCATAAATTCTCTTTTTGGTAAGTTTTTTTTTCTTCCAGTGAGCTCCATTGACCCATAGCAGAAATCCTGAAGTGACTACTGAAAGATATTTCCCTGAAATGTTCACAGAATGATAGACATGAGTTCTAAACCACTGAAATATTGAATCTAGTAGTTATTCCACCTTAGAAACTCCCTTTAAAGCTCCTAACACACCTGGCAGCTGAATATTGCAAATCTGTCTACTTTTTTGTAAATCCTATGAATCAGTGTCATGGTTTTTTTTTTTTCCTGTTATAAAGACAAGTTCTGTAAACTGGCAAATTGTCACTAATTACAAGGGATTAGTTGACCTGATTTAATGGTTACCTTGCCAGCTTTGTTATTAAATCATTATTATTCACTTGGAAATAATAAGCCTTAGAATTTTCTTTTTAGATAAAAAATTCAACACATATTTTATTCATCTTTATATCTTGGACACCAAACCCTTTCTGAGACATTTGATTCAAAGTTTTTTCCCCGCATTCTTATTCCCTTCTTATCCTAGATCTGTAATTTGTGCAGAAGTTTTTCAATTTTACACAAAGTTATCTATTTTAACTTTTATAATTGCCTCTATCTCTTGTTTGGTTAAGAGCGTATCTCCTCTCCCTAGTTGTGAAATACATAGAACTTGATTCTCTTCTAATTTTTTTAACTGAATGATATTTAATATTAAGTTCCTTTTTCAATCTTGAATTTATTGTGGAACATAGTGTAAGCTGTTGGTCCTAGCCTGATTTCCTCTAGACTGTTTTCTAGTTTTTCCACCAATTTTTCTCATTAAATAAAGAGTTCTTTCCTTAGTCATTTGTGATTTTCAGTTTATTAAACACTGGGTTATTGAGGTTCATTGTTTTTTATTCTCTCTTGTCTAGTTTGTCCATTGATTAATTTCTCTGTTTTTGAACTAATAGCAAAAGGTTTTGATGACTGCTGATTTATAACATAGTTGGAGCTGTAGAAGTGCCATTGACCTTTCATCCCTGACTTTTTTCATTATTTCCTTTGATATGCTAAATCTTTTGTTTCTTCAAATAAACTTTGTTATTATCTTGAGGAGCTTTGTAGTACAGTGGTGTCAGATTCAATTCCTGAAGGTCACATATTGGCTTAAAAACTCTTCAAATTAACACCATCTAAGCTGTACTGTATCTTTATGTCTTTTGTTAAACATTTCTCGATTACATTTTAATCTTGTTGGGCCACACTCAGGAGTTTTGCAAGGAGTTGGCAGTTAGAGTTTGACACCTCTCACTGCAGTATCCTAATGGATGGTATGGTTGGGACAGCTTGGTGACACAATTGGATTAGAGCACTGGGCCTGGGGTCAGGAAGATCTGAGTTCAAATTTAGATTCAGACACTTATAGCTGTGTAATCCTGGGCAAGTCACTTAACTTCTGTTTGTCTCAGTTTTCTCATTTGTAAAATGGAGATAATAATAGCACCTACCTCCCAGCATTGTGAGGATTAAGTGAAATAATCTTTGTAAAGTGCTTAGCACAGTGCCTGGCACACAGTGAGTGTTATATAAATGTTAGCTATTATTATTAATGATTACTATTATTATTATACAACATTAAAACTGTAAATTAACTTTGGTTATATTATTATTTTTTGTTTTATTGTGATGGCCCATTAATGGGTACTGAATATTCCTCCAGCTATATAAATTGATCTTTATTTTTTAAGGGGTACTTTGTAATTAAATCTACTCAAGTATTTTATGTGCTTTGGTAGATTGATTCTCAAAATATTTTGTAGTTATTTTGAATGCAATCTCTCTTTCTAGTATTATCTCTTGGTTTTTGTTGCTATTATAAAAATACCATTGATTTTTTTTGGGGGGGTGGTGCTAGGCAATGGGGTTAAACGACTTGCCGAGGGTCACACAGCTAGTGAGTGTCAAATGTTGGATTTGAACTCAGGTCCTCTTGATTCCAGGGCCACCTTGTTGTCCCCAATGCCATTGAGTTTTGAAGGTTTCTTTTACAGCCTGCAACTTTGCTGAAGCTATGGATTATTTCAGTTGGTATCTTTGCTGATTTCCTAGGCTTTTCTAAGTAAACTATTATGTCACCAGCAAATATGGAGAGTTTTTATTTCATGTTTACCTGTCTTTACAACTTTAATTTCTTTCTCTTGCCTTATTTCTATTACTGGGATTTCTATTAGTATATCATATAATAGTGGAGAGAATTGGCATCTTTTCTTTACTTCTGTATTATTGGGAAAGCTTCTATTCACATTGTTTATGATGCCTGCTTTTGATTTTAGGCAGATACATTTTATGATATTAAATATGTTTCCCCATGCCTGTGCTTTGTAGTTTTTAGCAAAAAGGAATGTTGTGTATTGTCAGAGGTTTTTTCTGCGTCTACTGAGTTAATCATGTACTTTTGTATTATTTTGTTTAATGTTGATTGATTAATGTTGATTGTTTTCTTAATGTTGAACCATCCCTGTTATGAATCCAGTTAGCTATAATATGAATTGCTATAGTCTGGTAGGATTTAATTTAAAATTTTTTTGTTCAATATTTATTAATAATATTAGTTTATAGTTCTCCTTTTGTACTACATTCTTCCTTGGTTTAGGTATTAGGATTATATTATCTCATATAAAGAATCTAGTAGAAAGCTTTCTTTTTCAATTTTGTTGAATAATTTGTGTATTGGTAATAATTATTCTTTAAAAGCTTGATAGAATTTTCCTGTGAATCCATCAGGACTAGGAGTTTCCCTCCTCCTCCCCATTAGTAGTTTATTAACAACTAGTTTTATTTTCTTTTCTGAAATTGGATTATTTAAGATCTCTATTTGATCTTCTGTTAGTTTGGTTATTTTATATTTTTAAAAATATTGTTTTACTTCCTTTGTGTTTTCAGTTTTGTTAGCATGTAAATGTTCACAGGAGGTTCTGATAATTATTTTTATTTCTTCTGGTTTTGTTGTGATTTAACCTTGCTTGTTTGCTATTGTATTGATTTGATTTTTCTATCATTGTTTTAATCAGGTTGGTTAAAGATTTAACAGTGATGTTAGTCTTCAAACAATGAGTGTTTAATTTGATCATTCTATGTACATTTTGACTTCCAGTTTATTTATTTCTCCTTTAGTCTTTGATATCTCCTTTTTTACATTTATTTTAGATTAGATTATTTGTTGATTAATTTTTTAAAATGTGTATACTGTCCCCAGTCGATAAATGGTCAAAGGATATGAAAGGAAAGTTTTCAGAAGA